TGTGAGTCCTGCAGCTCTCAGGGCCTCTGACTGGAACAACCCTGGGGTGACCTTCACTGTCTCCCGTGTCCCTTCTGAATTCGGGTCCACACTGACTTTGCACCCTTACTTAGGCTCCTTTCTTTCCCAGCTCCACTCCCCCACTCCCTTACTGGTTTCTCCTGGGAATACTTCCTAAATAAAGCAATTTCACATGAATCCTTGTCTTAAAGTTCTCCCTTTTTGTGGGAAGGTGAGGGAAAACAGCCCACCTTAGGCAATGACAATATGATAATATTAATAGCAACTATTATTTTTAAAAATATTTTCTATGTGCAAGGCATTAACTCATTTAATCCTCAGAATTAGGTATGTACTGTATTATCCTCATTCTACAGATTCAGGAAAAATGAGGCATATAGTGATTAAGTAATTTGCCCAAGGTCAAACAGATAATGAAAAGAACTGGAAAAAGAGAAGGATAAACCTACATGGCAATGACAGAAGGGATTAAATCATAAAAAAATTTAATCTCCACCAAGCTACCACTTGTGGGCTAGTAAGAAACCAAATCAATATGTACACTTTTTTTTTTATGAAATGAGTTCTGAGTTCTGATAAGCGACTTACAAACTTTCAAACACCATCAGTTTGTAGATTAGAAGCTTCACTTCTAAGGGACTATTAGAAAATCTTCCTCTTCTACCCCCTCCCGGCTTGTCTCCCCCCACCCCCCACAGTATGTTTACAGTACACACATCCGTCACAGGAAGTGAAGCCCGTATTTGGACGCTAATTTAGATCCACTACAGATGAAGTGTGTATTTCTGGACTAGCCTGGGAACAACCGTGCCTGATTTCTCTCTGGAATATGCATTCTACATCACGAACAATGCTCACTGAAGTGCATGAGCGCTTCCAGTGTTATGTTCTTGGCTTTCATAAAAGACGATTACAACAGGGCACTGTGGACTATTTCTTACACACGGATCATTCGGCCTCCCACCTGCCTTCTGCTTCATCCCTACTCCTTTATCCACCCTAGAATATTTACTGAGCTCCTGTTGTACTTTGTGCCCTGCTGGCTACTATGGAAAACAGCTGCCATGGTGTCTGGAACGTGGTGGGTGCTCAGAAGCGTTTATTTCCCTCTCTACTGACATTGACCTTCTTATGATCTCGTCTATCCCTGTTCTGATGTCTCTTCTAGTACAATAGACATGCTTTAATCTTCCAATCGTTTGCCAAGGCTGTGTCTGAGTAGAATTTGGTAACTTTTAACCTCTAATGGATACAGGGCAGAGATCATACTCTTTGGAGGCAGAAAGCCAGGAAAGGTGAGCAGTGACTAGAGTTCATCTAAAGCTGTGGGAGACTCCCAGGATTCCTCCGTGGGTCATGCTTCCACAGATATTTGTGATCCTCAAGAATGGACCGTTAGCTTAGGTCAACTTTATTTCTAAATGTGATTCGGTATTGTTAAATGTCAGTTTGTGTCATAAATAGAGAAATCGCACTTCCCTCTATACCTTTTTCATTCATTCATTCATTCATTCATTCATTCAATATTATTGTATGCTTACCACAGATATGAGGCAGGTCCTGGAAATATCCAGAGGAATAAGAAAGAGGTTGGCTCCATGGACATCCTGGCCTAGTCCATTGGTTTTCAATCCTAACTGCACATTAGAATCTGAGAGCTTTAAAAAAAAAATCACTGAGTGCTCAGGCCCCATCCCAGACCAATTTAATCTGAATATTCTGGCAATGAGACCCATGCATCAAAAGTTTTAATAGCACCTTTGAGAATTCTAATACGTAGCTAGAACTGAGACTCACTGGGCTAGTGACTATTATGGGGTCTAGGTTAGTGCTGTAAATATACCATAATTGCCTGGGGAGTTAAGAAATGATATGTGTATGTATCATACATAAATGAGATATATATTATACATTTACACCAATCTTGTCCCACCCCTCCCCTCATGCTAGGGCATATTGAGATCCTTAGAGGACTACCATATGTGATTTGGAAAACTCTTTTCCTCAACTAGGTAGACAATTATATCATGTGATAAGTGAAAGACACAGGTTACATAGAAGGAAAACACAATGAAGGCTGAGGAGGTCAATGAATCCTTCTAAAAGAGGAGAAGCCAGAACTGATAACTCCTAAGAGAGAGTCTGGCAGAAGGAAATAGAGTGGGTTTTCCCAAATAAATGAACCAAGCTAGGCTAGACTTTAGCCAATCCTTGCTCAGCTCTTTCCCTGTCCCTGCCCTCCCCCCTCACCACTGAAAGGCTTTTCCTGAAGAATACTCCATCAGTAAGTTACTGACTCATACTCTGTTTCTAGGGAATCTAAACTAAGATGGTCGATACCCGGAGGAAGTCCAGGAAGCAGGATGGGCTTTTGGAGGTGGATCATCTGCCAGATGATCAGCCTTGAGCCCTGAGTGGGTACTGACAGTCCCAGCTTATGGAGCACTGCAGCTGCCAAGCCTTTTGCCTGTGGTAAGTTGGTGTGTGTTGCAGGTGGAAGGGGATTCACTGGCCAGTTCAGTGTCTCTGGCATGTGAGTGCTACAGAAGAAGCCATTATGATGAGGCCTGCGGAACTGGCTGCTGCTGGGCACCACTCATGAACTGAGGGGAGATGACACGCTCAGGTCAGTTAATTGTGAACTAAAAGCGGAGTGTGAGTCAGAGGGCATTCCTGACAGCGTTAAAGGTGGCAGACAGCATCCCCCCCACCCCGCTGTACCTCTTGCTGAAGGGCAGGCCCAGGTCTAAAGTGCAAGGGCAGCAGAATTGCAGGAAAGGCTGAATGCTCAGTCCAGGCAGCCATCCTAGGCCAAGGGCAGCCCTGAGAGGGAGCAGGTGGGACCATGAGCTATGCAACGAGAATCTATTTCAGCAGCATGCGAACCCCCACATTCCTCTGAAGTAAAGGGCCCACAGAACTGGTCCTCGCCCCTTGCTAGAAGATAGCACCCCCTCCCTTGCTATGCAGAAATCTCAAATGAAGAGGGGCCCTTATAAGACAATAATTTCCCACCCCCCTGTTTTAGATACCAGACCAAAAACTTAGGGTCACATTTGACCGTGACTCAATTAGGAAAGTGAGCGCCATGCTGTGCGTGGAAAGGCGATATAAGCCAAAGAGTTATTGGACCTGGTAACTTACACCAGCAAAAACAGGGAGAAACTGGGAGGGGCCTACCAGTGTGCCAGGCTAAGGAGGGTACAATACAGAACTGGGTAAGGGACATTTTGCCAGAGTGGAGCATTTTACCATGATACAGGATTTAATTCTCTGGGAAGCACCCAGTGATGTTTCTGTTGTACTGCTGAATGGCTCTTGGAAGCTTGGAAAAAAACAGTGGCCTATATTTAATGAAGTAGAGATACCAGAATTGCCATGGCAGGCTGTGGAGGAAGGGGTCAAGAGGCTCAGAGAAGTGGGCATGTGTCTTAGACAGCTGGAGTGGCTCTAACAAAGTTCCATCGACTAGAGGGCTTATAAACAAGAGAAATTTATTTCTCACAGTTCTGGAGGCTGGAAGTCTGAAGTCAGAGTTCTGGGGAGAGCCCTCTTCTGGGTTGCAAACTGCTCAACTTCATCTTCTTGTATTCTCACATGACAGAAAGACAGCAAACTTGGTCTCTGGCCTCTCCTCATAAAGACACTAATCCCATTCATGAGAGCTCCACCCTCATAACCTAATCACTTCCCCAGGTCCTCTCATCCAAATACTATCACACTGGGGATTAAATTTCAACATATGAATTTTGGGAGACACAAACATTCAGTCCATAGCAGCATGACAGAATGCATCTACTATATAAGACCAGAAAGACCACCACCTGATTATTTTCCTCAAGAGGTTCCAAATAAAACTAAGGCAATAAGAAATTCACAGTGACAGGGGTACCCACATGATTGAGAAGCTGTTCTCTGTAGGCTTAGGCTGATAATAAGAGATGCTATTCCAGAACTGGGCCTCCTGGTAGCAAAGGGGATTAGAGAAATCCACAACAGCAGACACCAAGCGACAGCACCTGGCCAACAGAAGCACTTAACCATTAGAACCGCTTAATTACTGCAACCAGCCGCCAACTCAGGAGCAGGAGACAGACTGACCTCTGTGGATCCATGGAGAGGACTCCATAGTGTGCAGTCAGAAAGCAAGAAGCAAGAAAGGTGGGCAGTCAGAAAGAATTACGCTAAATGTAAGTAAATAGAATCTAACCCCTAATTAATAATGGGTTCGCAGAAGGTTGAGGTTAGGAACTCCAATGGGAAGTCCTGATCTCTTGTTCAGTTTCCAAACTTGAGTTATTTCTCAGACTCAGAGCCAATAAGCTAAAAGAGAAGCTACCTTTTTATGAGGAAGGACCAAAGGGAGTCAAGATAATAATGAGTTCTGGCCCAGGTCCATCTCAAAGAGGGTGCACTGAGTCCATGGCCTGTTTCTACATCGCTGGCTATTTCCTTAATTAGGAATTTTATCATTTAAATGGAAATGCTTAGCAGTTGGCAGAATCCTCACATTGGTTCCTTGACTTGTAGAGCAAGAGGTACTATAGCAGGAAACTCCAAGTGGTAGTCTCCAAAATTGGCCCTCTCCCACGGAGATAGGAAATCAAAAACTACTGCAGGCCAGGAGGGATGGCAGAGATTAGTACCATCTTCAAAGATTTTTGAAATGAAGGTGTGGAGCTTTTTGTCACAACCTTATTTACTTTGCCAGTCTGACCTTTGCAAAACCTTGATGGATCATGAGAGGTATGACAGTGTACTACCACAAACTTAACCAAATACTCGCCACTTTGCAGCCGCTTTCCAAGATTTGGTATCTTTACTAGAGTATATTAATACAACCTCCGTACATGTATGCAGATATCAATCTGCAGATGTGTTCTTTTCTACATTCACCAGGTATGTAAGTTCCCGATCCCCGTGAATAAGCCAAAGAGCGTGGCTGGTCAGCTACATGATACCCGGGCAGTAAAGAGATAGGAACAGGCTGTTCGGTTGCAGTCTGTAGCCAGGCTCAGCAAACAAGTGACAACGAAGTGCAGAATGGGTGCCGGTACTTTCCAAGAGTAGAAAGCAGGCTGCGTCCCTGGGCCTGTGCGGCTGCCAGGAGCGCTGAGCCTCCCGATACTTGGCACTCGAGGAGGCCTTGTGACCGATGATCAGCCCTGGGCGCGAGCACCAAGGGGCGGAACTCGTAAAGTCAGCATCGTGGGTCAGGCCGGACGTAGTTTCCAGTCGCACTAGCGGAGCTCCCGGCCGGCGGTGGAGCATCTCCTTTCGCCGGAGGGGGCGGCATGGCCACTGGAGAGAAGGGCTGTGAGGCCTGCCGTTCCTCCTCCATAGCGTCCCCTCCGGCTGGACAGTCCCAAGCTGCAGCGCGGGCTTCCAGCTTCTCTCTTCAGTAGACGGTCAGAGGGCGCCCAGCCTGTGGAGGCACAGAAGCCACCCGCTTACTGCCTCTAGGACCCAAGAACACCGCGGCCCGCCGCAGACTTTTCTCGGGGCAGAAGGAAGACGGCCCAATTCCCGGCTAGGTGAGCTCGTGGAAAGCTCCGGGCCCCACCACTACTTCCGGGAGTAGCTGACGAAAGCTGGCCATCCCGGGGCCCCCATCTCTTCTCCTATTGGTGAACTGCTCTTTCAATGCGCTCCCCTAACTGGTGATTGGTTCAGAGCACCGTCTGTCTCCCGCCTCCCTGTGGGAATCCAAGTCGCTAAGGGAAGCGTTCCTCGAGGCTCGGTTGGGAAGAGGTTGGTTGGGCGCTCGAGCCCCTTTTGTTTATTGTGCGGACCGTGTCGCGGCGCGAGCTTGTGTCACAACGGCCGGGGAGGGAACCAGTAGCGGGACGGAGGGCGGAGGTAGCAAGAAAGTGAAGGTTCAGAAGTAAGCTGGAGACACTTAACCGTGGCAACAGCGAAGGGGAACGGGGTAGGAAGGAAGGCCTTTGAGAGAATAGAATAAATCCCAGGAGCAGTGATCGTGTAGGAGGAAATGCCTGGTGGGCGGGGGTGGGGGGTGGGGGGGAAGGACCTTGAGGGAGATTTTTATGACCTAGTTGTATGGGGATCTAATTTTCTAGGTGAATGCCTAACAAAATACACCGGAGATACTGCTCTGACTTTGCTGTAGACTTGGGAGATTATTAGCCGTTCCTAGCCTACAAAAAGACAATTTATTGAGTAATTCAACTCTCTTTTATTGCTTCAGATGAGCAGCTCTCAAAAACACAGTTGAAGGATGGATACCATTGCGTATATTAAAGACATGTTGAAAGGAAAATAAGGTATTCACTCTGACTTAATCGTGATTAATTGTACAAGAAAATTACCTTTGAGAAGCAGCTCTTAACATTTTGAATAATAGTACACTAGCTTGATTTTATGATGTTTCAAATATTTAAATTAATACAAAAATCTTATTACTGCCGTATTTGTCAAATACTCTGCTAATGGTGGTCTAGTCCTGATTATTCTGAAAATATAAAGAATTCTTGAGTTTTGGTTGGTATTAATTCCAATTTGATTGGATAGTACTACTAGATCTTTCCTTAAAAAATGGCATGATCACTCTTAAAAACAACCATTGAATTGGAAATTTAATGTTAGAATACCCATGATAGTCGCTTACTCATTCGATAGTTGTAGACTAATCTCACTTTATATTTAAAGTAGCTTGCTTATTAAACACTGAGTCAGAATTGGAGCAGTAGCTTCACTGGCAACCTAGTCATTTGATCCTCTGGACTCTATATTAAGTCGTGCTGTATTACACATACCCTTCAGTGACATACCAGAAATTGGCAAGGAATAGTTTATTTCTTCCTCAGAACACCCGTATTAGCTCTTAAATATAGACCTGGGCCCTATCGTGGAAAATTCTGATGTGATCTGGGCATCTGCATTTTTAAAAAATTTCCTCAAGTGGGTTTCATGTGTATTCTCAGTTGAGAACTGTTGCTTTAATAACTTAGTAAGTACATATATTTAAGCAGTTCTAAAATATTTACGAAATAATTTTCTCCCTTGATTTCCTTATAGTTTGAAAGTAAGCTTCTCAGGAGTGACATTTGAGTATAATCCAAAAATGTTTGCATAGGCAAGGTGAGGTAATTTCACTGACACTCAGAAACCCCTGGAGCTAAGCATTCCAGGTTTAGGGCTGAGGTTTGGTGTGGGGAGATACAAAGTGCTCACATGCACTTACACAGTCTTTAGAGCCATGCTTGGAGTATTGTTTCCTGTTAGGTTTAAGGAGAGATCAACTCCAAGTCTGTTAAACAGTTACACTAAGCTAAATTATTTTTACCTCAACAAAGTGTAAGGCCAGTGGGGTGGGGGTAGGGGATAGTATTATATTTATGAGTTTTATTTCAGGAAGAATACCTTGCTGGAAATAAATATAAATGATAACCTCCCAAAAGCCTTTTGCTTATTAAGTAAAGAGCATACATAATACATGCTTGAAATTTGTATGCTAACATGAAGTACCCAGATATTTGAACATCAGTGAGAGCTTTTATGCCAATTTTACCAGAGATTCAAAGAGGTAAAAAGTGAGATAATCACTTTGGTATTCAGGATGAGAAATGAGTGGTAAAACCAAATTCAGTCTGACTTAAACGTGGCTTTAGGTAAAGAAGTAGGTCCATTTTATATGTGAAGTTTTTCACTGCAAGAACTTGGCATATGAAGTCTTTAAGTAGGGAACATACTTTTTAAATGAAAATTTAAAAAACGAAGTTAAAAATACGAAGCCATTTGTACTTCATGACCAACACCTTGAATTTTGTATACATTGTTTGAACAGAAAGCCAGGAACCTCAGTATGAATCAGTCTAGATCTAGATCAGATGATGGTGGTGGTGAAGCCTCATCGCAAAACTGTAATCATCATGAAAGTGAGAGAAGTTGGCAGCAAGAACGTCTCCATAGAGAAGAAGCCTATTATCAGTTTATTAATGAACTCAATGATGAAGATTATCGGCTAATGAGAGACCATAATCTTTTAGGCACCCCAGGTAAGGGATGGGTAAAAGATGGGATATCTTTTGCATCGTTAGGAGGAGGAATTTCAAAATCAGAGTTCTTTCCTCTTTCCTCTTCCAAAATATAGCGTACTATTTTTATGATTTTAAGAACTTTGTAACATAACTAAGTAGAAAATCACTGGCTTTCTTCTGTATTTTATAAGTAGGTCAGAATATTGAATGTGGAACACTGTTATATAAATGCCAAACAGGTTAATGTACACAACAGTGTCAGATGTTAAAACACATCATCCTATTTCTCTAAGCAATATTAGTACAAATAAAATACTATTTAAAGCCCAATTCTAACTCACTTGTGGCATTAGTTTTTTTAGCTAATTTATTCAGCTGAATAACTCCCAAAAAGTTGAATGTGCTCATAAATTTCTTAAAAATTATTTTCACAAAGGAGCTATTGCAACTTACATGTTTGTATATTATATATTTGTATGTTGCATATTTTTATTGACCCATGTAATGAACTCTTGAGGTGAAATTTAAGTAAATAAAGATCCAAAGTTTTCTCTAGAACTGGCCCCTTCTTTATTTCTTTTTAACTGACAAAAATCCATGGAATTACAGCTTATAGGCTCTTAAGTGTATCAATTGAGAACACTTCATTAATTATTCAAATTAAGTCTTATTTTTATTTTAATAAGACATTAATGAAAGAGCCAAAATGATGTATATTTGCATCAAATATTATTTACTCTTCAATTTACAGAACATGAAAACAATAGAATGTCTTCTACAGATTGCTAAAGGTTAGCCTTACCTTCATGAGTTCTCATAAAGCAGTAATTTAAAGTTTTTAACTGCAGGGAGCAATTTTTCATTGTTTTAGGAGAAATAACATCGGAAGAACTACAACAGCGGTTAGATGGAATCAAGGAACAAATAGCATCTCAGCCTGACTTGAGGAGTGGAACAAATGCAAGAGGTACTGTGGACTCCTTTCCATGAGGAACAGGTTTGATTGGAACAATTGCAGCGATGAACTTGCTGGATCTTGTACAATATGTTTGTTTTCAGTGTTTTGTAATTCTAATGTGATACTCATCCAGAGAGCATTTACATATTATATGCAAAGTACTATAGTTAGGCAATATTGGACAGGAGTTAAATACAAAGATGTCTTACAGATTTCCTTCAGGGAACTCATATATATGAAGCAGTATATAATTAAGTTAATTACCAGCATAGTTCTTTTTAATCTTGGAATGTACACACTACCTTTTTAAAGGTAATGTAACTAAACTAAACTTCTAAAAATTTACAAAGCAATACAGAAAAACTGAGTCAGGAAATCTGTTTTTGTTGCTTTGTTTTGTTGTTTCTGTGGTTGTCATTTTATAGAACAAAAACTAAGTCATAAGAAGTTCTTAAAAAAAGAAAGTGCTTGTAAAAAAAAAAAAAAGAAAATTCTAACTAAATAGGAGTACATAGAAGTAAAAGGAAAGTCAACTTAAATGTCCCTCTTAACCGTTCCACTTCCTTCCCCAAAGGTATTAGTTATTATCAGTTTCACGTATTCTATGAAGACCATTGTATTAGTTAGGGGGATGACTATTAAAATCCAAAACTGCAATAGCTCAATAAGTTAGGAGCTTATTTTTCTTTCATATTAGCAGTCCAGGGAAGATAGGCAAACTACTCTATAAATGCTCCTGGGACTCACCTAGCCTGCAGAGTGGTTCTACAGCTGTACCGTCCAGAGCAGTTGCTACTAGCCACATGTGACTAAATTTAAATAAAATTTAAAATTCAGTTCTTTAATCATATTAGCCTCATTCAAGTGCTTAATAGTCACAGGCGTCTGTGTTGGACAGCGCAGATACAGAACATTTCTAGCTTGCAGAAAGTGCTGCTGGACACTGCTGCTTCGGGGTATTGTTTCCATGATCAAGCTAAGTCACAGCCACAGCTAGGTTCCAGCTGGCACATCCGGGTTCCAGTTCCTCTGGCAGATCCCAGAGGCCCAGCACCAGCCTGAAAGTGAGATATGTCCCTTCCATTCCTATTCCATGATAAGAATTTAGTCACACAGCCGCACCCAATTGCCAGGCTGTCCACACGACCATTACAATGCATTTACAGATTTACAATGGAAGAAGGGTAGGGTAGGTTTCATTAGAAAATTAGTGACTCTTTTACACTATCTTTGCTACGTTCAGTGATTAAAGAAGGAAGTAGCATTTAAAATGATTAATATGTACCTGCCTTTTACTCATATCTTTTTCCAGTTAAAATGAAAATTGGATATTAACCCTTTTTATGTTTAGATATGTAAGTTGTACTAAATTGGTACAGCTGGTAATATGGACCTTTGAGTATGTTTTAATGGAAAATGTGCTCATCACAAATGGCTAAATTGCTGTTTATTGACACCGGCAGCTAATTAACTGCTTTAACTTCAACATTTAAAAAAGAATTTATGAGCAATAATAAAATCAAAGTAATCTTACTTAATACCTGTTTTTGAGTAGAATAAACTTTAAGGTCAGTCTGTATAGTTAATATGCATTAAAATGGTGTTCACCGAGTACCACACTGGTTAAAAAATGAAAAACTTATGCAGGAACACATTTATTTCTAAATTGATTAATTCATCAATATTAATTGAGGGTCTGATTTTTATCAGATATATATCAGATACTCTTGTAGAACGAATATAGTGAATAAAGATAAAATTCTTTGTCTTCATGAAGCTTACATTCTAAATAAGCAGAAAATGTATTTTCTTATGTATAATGGCTAATGTTTATTGAGTACTTCCTATGTGCCAGGTATTGTACTAATCATTTTATATATAGTATCTTATTTTATCCTCATGGTAACCCTATGACATTTGTAAGGTTATTATCTCTAATTTACAGATAAAGATAGAGTAAAAATGAACTTAACTAAGACACCTAAAGTTTCCCAGCTTCACATAAAGACATAATGTAGTTCTAACATTGTATTCAGAAAGCTTGATTTCTTGAGGCATACTTTTAGCAGTTCCTGAGAAACAGGTAAAATTCCTAAGGTCGTGAAAATACCTAATTGGAAAAATGTTGATTGAGTTACCTTTGCCTGAAGGGTTCCACAAATTCAAAATGAATCATATATAAATTTTGCCACTGTATTTTATTGATTGAATAAAGCAATATAAACATATAATTTTGGTATTGGGTATATTCCTCACTTGCTTTAATATTTTGCCAATAATAGGCATATAGAAAACAAGAGTGACGATTTCTTCACAGCATTGCATAAACAGTATTTTAAGTTGTATAACACATAAGTATATATAGTGATATGTTTACAGCATACAGCTTTCTTTTAGAAAGTACAATTTTTTGCCATTTTTCATTCAATGCATGGATATTCTTAAATGTAATTTAATAAAAACTGTCTAATCTTTCAAGCTTTCAATAAAAATCTAAGGATAGATTTTAGGAATTGACTTTAAGTTGATTTGGTTTGCTTTCCAGACTCACAAGTCCCTAGAGAGAGTTCAGATGAAGATTATCTGCTAGAATGGTTGAACATCTTTCCACATACAGGAAATACAACTCGAAGTGGACAAAATGGGAACCAAACTTGGAGAGCTGTGAGTCGAACCAACCCAAACAGTGGAGAGTTTCGGTTTAGTCTGGAAATCCGCACAAATCATGAGAATAGAGGATTTGGAATTCCTGGTGAAGATCGTACAGGCATTCCACTTTCAGACACTAGCGGAGAGCGCACAGCTAGGCAGCAAAGATCATCCAGTCCTGTGGCTCGACGAACAAGAAGCCAAACCTCAATTCATTTCAGTGGTAGTGGTTCCAACATTCCAAGGACTAGGCTTGGTTCAAGGGGGCAGAATTCAGTAGAAGGGTCTTTCTCAACATGGGGAAGATTAAGAAATGGAATCGGGAGAGCAGTTGACATGCCTAGAATGAGAGCTCCACATGCTGATTTCAGTGGTCACAGAAACCAAGCTGGTGGCAGGGAACTCAGGCAGAGGGAGGGACAACGATTTGGAGCAGCACATATTTGGGAAAATGGGGCTAGAACTAATGTGACAGTGAGGAATACAAACCAAAGATTAGAGCCATTAAGATTACGGTCTGCTTTCAGTAGTCGAAGCCGTTCACCAATTCAGAGACAAAGTGCTACTGTTTATCATAATTCACAAAGAGAAAGCAGACCTGTACAGCAAACCATTAGAAGATCTGTAAGGAGGAGAGGTATAAGTCGTGTCTTTTTAGAGCCAAATAGAGAACGCAGAGGTACTGCGTATGCTCCATTATCTAACTCAAGACTTGTGTCAAGAATAACAGTAGAAGAAGAAGAAGAATCCAGCAGATCCTCAACTGCTGTACAACGGTATCCAACAGTCACACTGGACCTTCAAGTGAGAAGAATTCGTCCTGGAGAAAACAGAGACCAGGACAGTATTGCAAACAGAACTCGATCTAGAGTAGGGCTAGCAGAAAATACAGTCACTATTGAAAGCAATAGTGGGGGCGTTCGCCAAACTTTTTCTCATTTAGAGCAGTCAGGTATTCAAACCTATGTCAGTACCATTTCAGTTCCTTTTCCTAGGATTACTGAGAGTGAGCTTGTTGAACCATCGTCTGTGGCTCTTCGGTCAATTTTAAGGCAAATCATGACTGGATTTGGAGAACTGGATTCTCTAATGGAGGCCGAATCTGAGTCAGAGATTCAGAGAAATGGTCAGCATTTACCAGAGAGGCAATCACAACTGAATAACCTAGGTCCAGTTAGTGACATCAGCCAGCACAGTGAAGGTTCCTTTCAAGGCAGGTGGGCCCAGGAAGATAGCACTGAAATGCACAGTGAAAACGAGACCACCCAGCCTCATACCCAAAACAGTGATAATAGAGGTGGCAGGCAGTTGCAAAATTCAGGTAACTCAGTTGAAACTGGAACACTCCCTATTCTTCGCCTTGCTCACTTCTTTTTACTAAATGAAGCTGTTGGTGACGATCGCGTACGCGGTTTAACCAAAGAGCAAATTGACAATCTTTCTACTCGGAACTATGAGCATAGCAATATTGACAGTGAACTAGGAAAAATCTGTAGTGTCTGTATAAGTGACTATGTAACTGGAAACAAACTCAGGCAATTACCTTGCATGCATGAATTTCACATTCATTGTATTGACCGATGGCTCTCAGAGAATTGCACTTGTCCCATCTGTCGGCAGCCTGTTTTAGGGTCCAACATAGCAAACAGTGGGTGAGGTGATGGATCCATTCAAATACTGCATTTTAGGAGAGCTGAATATGCAAGCATTCTTTTGTTGAATTATTTGTGATGACCTAACCAGGATGAAAAATAACAGATTATTATAGTTTGAACTATTTTTTGTGTGCTTTTTTAACTTGTTAAAAAGAGAAGATTTATATAAAATATAAAATGCAAATGTTAAATTATTCAAAAGTACAGAATAGTTAATATTGCTAGAACCAAATAACCTTTAAAATGTTTTTATTTTGGTAATTTTGTCATGCTAAGCACTTTTGTATCTGCACAGTTCAGTAGGTTAAAAAAATCAATCTTCCTTTTCTTAGTACAGTGGACTTGCCTTGGACTTTCAATTCCATAGACAGTACTGGGTCCGGACATTGGTGTCGAAATAAGCCTTTCATTGACTTTTTATTTTAAGGACAGTATCATTTCATGAAAGAATGTTTGGCTGAATGTTGGCTAAATGTATTTAAGTTACTTGAAATGTTAAATTTAATATGCAGCAAACCATATATGTATATATAGATACATAATTTTAAGGTTAAAATAGTCTACTTTGGTTCTTATTTAAGCTTCTGGGCTATTACTGCATATAGCACAATATTTAATATTTACAGGATCATCTCTGGGAGGAAATAGATTAAGATATTTAAAAATAGAGATAATTTACTGAAGCGGCTCTGACAATCTGACTTATTAGACAGTAAGCAATATATAATACTGAATAGGTATTTCTCTACTCAGAAATGGAACATGGGCATTTTAGAACATGTAAGTTATTTAACTTAAGTTCAGCCTTTTTGTGACTTCTTTGAAAGTGCAAATAATTCTTTGGATTATATTAAGGTATATAATATGCATGGTTTCTCAAATTTAGTTCTAAAATCTAAAAAATGTCTATGAAGAGTCAAATGTATACTATATTAAGTTCACTTGGAGGCCAAAAAACTCCAAAATAAAACAAAAACCTTTAAGAGAATGTAGAATTTATATAGATACAAAGAATGCATTGAAGATCTATTTCTACCAATAAATGTTAAAACTAAGCTGTCTGTGAACTGATTTTTTTTTCTGTTGTTTCAGTGTGCTTTATTCATTAAAAAAACATTGATTTTGCACCTACTAGGTGCTAGGTGCTATGCAGTGTTACAGGCTGAGGATTCAGCAGAGGACAAAGGGACAAAGTCCCTATCTGCATGAGAAAGACATATTTGCTCTTAGAAACTGAAAATCATTTAATAAAATGAATTATTGTTCTTTCCTGTTTGTTTATGAATGTCTGACAGTTTTCCTGTTTTCCTGTCATGAAAACTGCTTGGGCAAAATTGTAAGAACACATACCCTCAAGACCAGATTCTGTGAGCTTTAGATATTATCTCAAGATTTAGTTTTCCTTTCAGTTCGTTTGGTAAGATGCATGTACAGAAATTGTTAGGAAGTACATTTACCACCTGGAGCAAATGAGACTTTTTAATAAATGGTTTATGTAGGTCCATTATAGGACATAGGACTGGGAGTTTGATTTGAAGATGAAACATCAGACTAAGGAATTTTACTTCACAGACTAGATATCTCTTGATGAATTTTAGTGGTGAATGGTGAATCCGTTTTTGTGTTTCAGGAAGATTGGGTAGTGTTCAGAACACAGTGGAATGGAGAGAGATGGGAAACGAAGAAACCGATAAAGTAAATATTGTGGTCATTCTTAGCATCATCAGTTATTCTCTAGCCTAGGGTGATGGCACTGAAACTGGAGAGAAAGAGAAGGGAGTTTAAAAAAATATTTGGTTCCTACTTCAGTATGATGAGGTGGGAAAATCATATATTCACAGATATAAAATCACTTAAGTGGAGGTAGGAGAGCTGTTAGAAGTTAGCAAGCTATGCTCATTTAGACATTTATGTTAACTACAGCCCTGTTCATATGTCTCACTCATTTCAGTGTTACCATTTGTCCTCACTGTGACAAGAGACTCAATCCAGCATATTGCTCACATGGAATATTCTTCAGGGAGTTCTTCCTCCCCTGGTCTGATCAGTTAGGAAAATCAAGAGAACAGGGAAGGGGGAAATGAAACACTAAGGGATAAAGAGAAAAGCCCGTTGATTTCGCTTTGTCCTTTGCAAGATACAGGAGGACCCTCGTGTGAAGAGACCCCAAGAAGGCATTTGAAATAGTACTAGGTTGTATTCTATGTGGAAAATTCCCTGAAAGCAGAAGCCTAGTGAGTTTTATAAATTGATGTCCTAGTTAGGAACAAATAAGTGTTTACTATTTTCATTTATTTCTCAGTAAACAAGTGATGACATATAAAGGCTAGTTACCTATAACTTCTAGGAATGAGTGTATCCTTTTTAGTTCTAATATAGAACAAATGGCTTGAAATACATTTGAATGTTATGTTCCATGGCCTATCCTTAGAGGTAGTTCTTTATAGTGTGGCTGTCTTACAAACTTCTCTTTCTAAATTGTCAGCTTCCAAGCTGCTTTCCCATAGAGAATATCCTTTTACCCTGTTTTCTTGTATGCCAGATTTTTGTAGTTTCAGCTGCCACTGTTAAAGCCCTTATTTGGTTATCTTTTATTCCCTCTTAGGTTATTTTCCATTCAACACATGAATTCACAACTTAAACCTCCAAAGAGCTTGAGGTATTATTGCCATTTACCATAGTAAGTGGCAGGGTTTAGAGAGTCAATCCCAGGACCATTTCTCTGCAGATATCTTGCTCTTGCCACTAAACTGCATTCTGGGGAAGAAGAAATGCCTTGGAAAGTTTTCAGTCTAATTTACACTTAAAGGTACTTTTCTAATTTTGTAACTTGACTCTATCATGTCTCTGTGATTACCTTAATTCTCATACGCAAATACATCCTTCCTGTCTCACTGATGCTCCTGAGAGGCATCAGACAGAATATTATAACGGTGAATCCAGAAAAGGGATAAGGCATCTGAAGGTGCTGTGTTAGGGATCCAATAAACTGAGTCTGAGGCATTTTCATAAATACCCCAAACAAGAATTTCTAATCTTCCAGCATCTCTCCATTTGAATTGTCTGGCCAGAGGAGGAAGAAATTGTGTGGAAATAGTACTCCACGTGAAGGGATGGTTCATGTGACCTTTGCAGTGGCAGCAAGCGTAGTTGGGGTCTCCCCCTCAATCTTGCATGACAGTGGAAACCAGAGGGCTGGGCTATCTGTTAACACAGATACAGGAGATGATTTTCCAGGAAGCCAGAGTCATCTATCATTGAGAAGACCGAATGTTCCATGTTCCAAAGGACTGACTATGAGTGTCAGTGGCAATTGCTTCCTCAGTCTTTAGAGACGTATTGTGAATGAGTTATTTTCAGTGACTGTGAGTATGAGACCTGAATACATCTGCCCTTATGATAATTGGGAATCCACGATTACTTTCAGCAAGGTTTTTTTGTTTTACTTTATTTTGAGCACTGAATCTCTGAAGACTCTGAATTAGCCCCTACATTTTTCTTTTTCATTCCTTTTTTTTTTTAATAATCACATTTCTAATGGAAAACAAAAAATACTTTCAGATGTATTTTTAATCTGTTATAAAAGTGTCTTACTTGGTGACAGTTACCTCTTGGCTGCCTAGTACATATGCACCCTTCCTTCTCACACAGTTAATTGGAAAAAAGCTCCTATTTAATAATCTGACTATCTCCTGTGTAATTCCAAACATACCTCATTCTCTCCAATGGGAGACAATCCAAGTTCAAATATAGCTTCTGTGTCATGAAGTAACAATTTAGCTCAAAGTAACTCTTGAGTTCAGGTTCTCTGGATTGTGTCCATCCCTCCATTAGCTTGGATTTGATCAGGTTTAATTAGGACCCCGCCCTCACCATCGGCTTATGGGATAAATGATAAAGGTAGCTTTTATCTATCTACTTAATAGAATGAAGTGTAATAAAGATCAAGCTAAAAAGGGGGAAAGAAGTGTCACTGCCTTCTGGTGTAGAAAATACAACCCATCTTGCTGAGCAAGCTTAGAATGAATGCTAGAAATAGTGTCTTACAAGCATCTCTGCTGACTCACTCGCCTGGATGTGGAGCAAATTGTTAATTCAGACAGTGTGGCTGGCCCAGATCCCGAATGAGGGCCACCTTCAGAAAGGCATTAAGGGAGGATTTCCCTGTTGGTGCTGCAGTGAGGTTTCAAGGGTGCTAGTAAACAGCTTTGATCTTAGCACTTTGATGTGAGTGCTTGGTTTGGGGACCGCCCTTATGTTGAGCAGCCTTAAGTCTCTGCCCAACAGGCCAGGGGCTTTTTTGACAATACAATTTCCTCAAAACTTTAATTAGCTCCTTAACAATTTCATGCAGGGTCCTATAGTACCAGAAATCTTGTACATTTCTTGTTTTGTTGGAATAGCTGTGACCCTTATGACACCTTTAGGGTTTTTTTTTTTTTAGCATTTTGTTAGGAGGAGCCTTGTATTGCTCTAATTCTTAGCTAAAAAGATTTTGCTTTGGGGCACAGTTGGGACCCTTCCTTTAATCTTCTCTTGAATGTCACCGTTGTCCCTTTGCTGCATTTCAGACCAGTGTACTTTGCAGTAGGAAGGAGGCACCTTGGTTTTTGTCTACAGAATGAGTCAGAGTGGCCGTCCCACTCCCACCAATTGGGGTCAGGTCTCATGGCCAGTCTTCTGCAACTATGCAGTTTGGGAGGGTTAATTACATTTTTATCCCTGGCACTGAATTGCCTGGTACTCCTGGTAACACATGTGTTGAAGGTCTCCAGGACCACCCCCATGTTAGTGGCTGCCTACGACTCACAGGACTCAGCACATAGTCATGCTCACAGCTAAGATTTATTATAGGGCAAGGAGACATAGCACAATTTGCAAAGGCAAAAAGCACATGGGATAAAGTCTGGGGGAAGCCAGGCATGTTTCCCAGAGTCCTGTTCCCAGTAGAGTCACACGGGACACACTTGAATTCCTCCAGCATCAAATGTGACAATGGGATTGCCTTGGTTAATGCCGCCTGGGTTGTCCCTTTGGGACGTCAGGGTCAACGTCTCCAGAACTGAATTGATCATCATCTTCAAAACTGTTCTTCACCCTCTTTTCCTGAGTTCAATTGAGGCCTCTACCATTCATCCGTTCAGTCAAAGCTGAAAAGTCTGGTCGCTCTCCCCTGAGTGGAGGCCAGGTGGGACTGGCCTGGCTGGGATGAGCCCACGGGGTCAGGATGGGCAGCAGTGGTACCGTGGACTCATGGCTGTGGGCGTGGGGTCAAAAGTCAGGTGCAAAACTGTCTCAGAGGTAGAGAACGAGCTCTAAATAGGATGTAGAACAGGAGGGACTGGAGGCGAGGTCAAAAGGTCAGGAGAAATCAGTCCAATCTGAAGAACGGGAGAGTATTCAGGAAAAATATCAGTGGCCGTGGCTGTTGTCCATAGCTGGGTTGGTTGGTTGGTTTGAGTGGGTGTACGTTTGATGGGTAGTCAGGCACTCGGTGAAGGGCTGAGAGGGGGTACATAAGAACCCAGACTCACACCTCTTTCCTCCTGAGGGTTTCTTTCGGCATTCTCACCGTGTGCGTATGTTAGGGTATCACCATGGCTCACATAGGCTCTTGCCACCACTCTTAAGTGTCTCTTGCCACGCACCTCCTCCTCCCTATCACTGTGCAAGGGCAATCGTTGTTCAAGGCACATTTGGACATGTGACTCCTGGTTGTCTCATCACTGGCTCAGTGTTCTTACCACAGCACATAAGATTCTTCATGTGTGGGCCTCCGCCTACCTTTTCTAACCTCATTTCCTACCACTGAGGGGCCCTCACCTTGTCCGTCACACTTCTAAGGTTTGGCCCATGCTGTTCTCTCTTCCCGTGATGGCTTCCAAACCCTCTTGCCTTCCTGCTTAATCCTGGCTTATCCCCTCACTCCCACCTCAAGCGTGGCTTCTGCAAACCCTTGTCTGGCCCTCGTCTCCAAGGCTGGCTTCTCCATTCAGCCCAGCAGGCTCCAGGCCTCAGACCAATGATACTTCTAGGCACCCATGAAAATGTTTTA